AAGTTGACTAGTCTCTGTAGTAAGGACTGGTTAGAGCTCCCAAAGGAAAGACTTTCAAGTTCTGAGCCCAGTTAGTCTTGCTGAAAAATCATGGACAGTACATAAAAAACCTGTAGTCTGAGATCGAGTCTAAGAATGGGAGACTTATGGTATTCCAACCCAGGACAGGTGAAGACATCAATTCTGGTACCTTTAAGAAGTTGCACTTAGAGAACAGAGAGGAATCAAAGGTATAGCTACTTCTGTAACTAAGACATCTGGTTGCAAATCCCAAGTGTTTGCTCAGTACTGTAGTGGTAAGGGAGTGTGATATGGGCTGGTATTCTTTGATTTGTCTTTAATAACTTATCAGTTGGTTATTTTTTGCTGTGAGGTAAGTTAATCTGTTAAGTTTTTTTCGTTCTTCTAAAGGACTGGGCAAGTATGCTTGGAGCTAAAAATAGGCACTCAGACTGAGGATAAACTAACAATTTCAGTAAAATGTGTGTGGCAACCTATGTACATAAATGCATATTCTACACAATCCTTCTTTTATGCAAATTTCATTTCAGGTGTTACATAAATGTCCAATCATGAGTACTATATAGTTTAAGTTTGTTAGGTAATAGTTGTACCATCTACCAGCACAAAATATAGCCACTCATTTGCAATTGCCTCCTGCCAAAGGAATCTAAGCAAACAGGTGGGTTTTGGAACTAAGTTTCAGAGATTCATGCAAAATTAGTGATCTGATCCTCAGACTATAGGTGGTTGATGATGCAACATTAATGTAACAGACCATGTCAAAGCTAATGTTTGCAAGTGAAAAGGATCAGTCCATGATAGGATGGTCAAAATGTGAAACTATGTTCAATAATACTTCCCCCCTAATCCCCGCCAGAGATCACCTCTTAGAGATGGTTAATTAAAGAACAAAAAAATTAGAAGAGGCAGAAGGAGGATAACAAGGAAAAGGTATGAAATTTACACATCCAGCATTGCCAGTTCAATTGGTTTCACATGTAACTGAGCAGTATTATAGATTCAGCCACATAAACCTTTTACTAGCCGTGAGTAGCAATTTATATTTTTATAGTAGCACATGGCCTTTTTGGCAGTCTTGAACAGCAGCTTATCCCCACCAATTAACACTTGTACTCCCAGGGCACATTTTAACTGGAAAATGACTGGATGCTTTAACTAATCCAGCTGCCTACAAATGCAGAACAAACATGGCCTATCTTGACTGTTGCAGCAGTGAACTACTAATTGGTAACAGGGTAGTTAATGGACCCAGACTACTGAATAAAAATGCCCCTGCCCCCTTTAAAAAGTTATTTAACCATATTTCACAATAATGTTATATTCTCTCAGACAATGCGCATGTGCATGCATTTCAATTTACTGATGGACTATTGCTATTCAAACATAAAAAGATAATCTCTGTGCCAAGAGGTTTATAATCTAGTTCCAATTAAATCATCCCTTACTACCAACTGTGGTCCCATTTCACTAACTAGATTTTGCAAGTGAGCCAAGAAAGCTTTTTCCTTTTTTTTAAAGGGTGTCATTCTCCTGACCACAAAAGCAAAGTGCTAGTAGCCCTGGCTATTTGTGTGAGAAGAAACCTTGAGAAAGCATCTCCACATGTTGTAGCAATGCCTTTCATTTTGACTGCAATACCTCTGCTGTTCCTGGCCAGAGCAGAGACACTGAGCCGTGCCCAACTGCTTTGTCACATGGACAAACACCTAACAGGGGCTAGGAAAATGCATTTGCTTTTACTGATCCCTTCATGAGCCTTTCCTAGAGGCTAGAGCCTATGCATGTGCCAGCCAAGATCAGTGTGACAGGCTTTTTGGGGTAGGGACTGTTTTTTCATTCTGTTTGTGCAATGTTTAGCAAAAAGGGGTCATGGTCTATGATTGGAACTCCCAGATGATACCACAGTCTAAATTATTGCTACTAAGAAAAGGGTTGATCATATTATATTTCATTAATCATCTGGCAATTTAAGGAAGAAAAAATATATGCAGTTAGTCATGAAAACAAATTATACCTTTTCACATTTTTACCCCTAAAGATTAAAAAGACATCAATTTGTAGCTGGGATATGAGCATCTGATTCTCCACTGTGTTGCACTTCGATAGTGACTCATGCACAGTAGTGCAAAGTACCACCATTCTGATTTGGCTACACAAGTACAAGGTGATGGAGGATCAGAGCCTGAGCCAGCGTAGGAACACAGACAGATCACATTCAATGGTGCCTCATATGCAGTGGTGTCAGAACAGTTTAGTCATTGTGGATCCTGTAAAGTAATGTTGTTTTATCATTTTCCTTGAAAACCTAAAGTTGATAGCAGGGGTGGGGAACCTTTTTTGGGTCAGGGACCTCTGACTCACAGAAAAATTTGATGCGGCACCCCCAATGAGAAGGGGAAAGACACTCCCCAAATTCCCCATGCACATGAGAAGCTAGGGGGACCCAGCCTAGTAGATTTTGTGTGCTCCAACTCTGTGGTGGGTTAGCAGGCGGGGCTGGTTTGCCAACATGGGCTCCCCATTGCTGAAATTACTGTGGAACTTCAGATTACTTATCACAGTAGTGCTCAGAGTTTCATTCAGAATCAATACTTCATTGTGCTAGGTGTGGTACAAACACTTGTGGATACATAGGGTGAATTCATTACCCTGCTGAAGCCAAAGACCCATTAAGTTCTATGGGCCCAAGATTTCACCAATAGTTCCTGCCCTAAAAAACTTATGAACCAAGAGACTTATGTTCCCATACCTGAGTATTTCTTGGGTGTCACATTCTAATTTGTTTTGATAAAGCCAGTCCATTTCTTATTAAATACCACATGCATATTTTATAACATGGTCTAATAGTGAAAGTCAGCCTTGTGCAAGGCTAACAACAGGCCTATCGGTCATGTTAAGATACTTAAACTCTATTCATGAATGGAATTAACTATAAGCACTTTTTTTTAAATCCCTGTAGCATTTGTACTGGATCAGCCGTTAAACATATGAAAGTAATATACTTAAAAGTAAGGCCATTTGGGGAATAGGATGATAAAAATGGTTGTAAACACTTCTCTTTTGGCAAACTTCCTTTTTCTGTAATTACAGAGAAGCAGAGTGCAATAAGAATATAGAAGAAAGGGTGTAAAGGAATATTAGGCATTTACAGAATACATGTTTTAATACATTCATTTTTTCAATTCGATTTTTTTTAAATGACAGAGATTGTGTATTCATCTTAGTGAGGACTTAAAGAGCTTTGAATGACTGTGGTATCAGAGAAAAGCAGCTGAAGATAGAGAACAACAGTCCATTTCTTATTAAATACTACATGCATATTTTATAACATGGTCAAATAGTACAATATCAATGTCTCTGTCACACAGGCACTTTGAGCTGCTTTTTTTAGGTTTTATTTGTATTACACTCAAAAATAAAGTTTTGAAGTGTTCTTTTTTACAGTTCTAAAATCAGTTATAAGTAATTGGTTAGCTTTCAATACTATATGAAAAGTTTGCAGAAACTCAAATCTGCTATTCAAAATGTAACATTGCATAAGAATTATATACACAGTAGGAATAATGTTCTGCCTTTTTTTTTTTTAAGGACACGCGTAGAAACCCCCCTGACATTAGGATATGTAAATGAAGGATTAATCAGTATGCTCAAGGGCACAGATCATCACAGTGCAAATGTAGCTTCATTAAAATAGCCTTATTAAGGCTGCATCAACATTCAGAAGCAGAGTTGGTCATAAAATAAATAAAAGAAAACTTTTGATCTAAAAAAAATCATTTTAATGTAATTGAAAACAATTTTAGAGGGTTAGGAGTTAATTTTTTTGTAATGAAACTTAGAAAGAGTTTGAAAAAATAATGATAAAAAGGGCATTTTCATCTAAAAAAATTGGGAATTGTTTCTCCATCGGTTCTAGTGAGAAGACTCTCTCTTTTCTAGGATCTCACCAAAGTCTACTGAAGTCTATGGAAAAAGTCTGATTAAGTTCAGTGTGCTTTGGAACAACCCCATCTCCCTATGTCATGAAGAATGCTCTATTGCTCCTTGAGACCAGATTAAAATAACCCAACCAGATTCTGATAAATACAGCTTCTTTTCCACATATCACACAACAAAGTTAGAGAGCACAAGAAAAATATACTCAGAAGCAAGGAGTCAGGGAAGCTTTTTTAAGTGCCTACACAAGGGGTGACATTCTCTTTAATTTCTAATACATAATCTTCAATAGTACCTTCCCTTCCCTTCTCATCAGTTATTTTAACAGTGTTTATGCTATTGCAGCTTTCAGACCATCAGTAAAGTAGAATGACAGAAGAAGAATCAAGAAATATATTGTAGATTACTATTAACTCAATGAACAACCTTTGTCTCTAGAAAAGAAATTAACTCCCTTTCAATTCCAGGGGCCCTTCTATAGGTCACATTCAAAACATTTTTTTAAAAAAAGTTAACGTTTCAACAGCTGAAGATGTGCAGAGGAGGTGCTTTCCCCAATGCCGCCCTACTTGCATAACCTTTCTCTGTGTTGGGAGGCAATGGGATAGTACACTGTTTTTATCGACATAGCTATGGAAGGTACTGATTGGGTACATAGGAACGCAAAGGGTACATACCCTCAGGCTCAGGCATGTCTTCATGCAACTCGCCTCACCATCTATTTATACCCATGTTGTGGTGGGGGAGGGACATGTAGTGTATGCACTACACACATATTAAGTGTAGGCAGAGCCTAAGACAAAGCAATGGATCTGAATGTAAATATGCTTTTTAAAGGTTTGTACTATTTTTCTGTTAAAGCAACCAATCTTTTTTCTTTAAACACAGAATATCCCAATAGGATTACCTTGTGGTTTCGTTCAATGCCTGTGTAATCTGCTTCAGGTGGGATCTTTATATGAAGCTCAGCTTCATAGGCTCCTTCCCCATCATTCCGTGCATTTATTATGAGCATGACACAATTTTCTTCTCCAATGATTAGTTGATCTTTATCTCTGTAAAAACATACATCTGATCATGAACTCTGAAAATACCCAATGAATTGAACTATAAATATGCATAATTAATTCACCTATATGGCCCATTTGCTCTCCTAGCATCTATACTAAAAAAAGTATTAATTTTCTAAAAATACCAAAAAAAGCAAAAACACACTGCCTATAAGTTCTGTGCACAACCAGCTACTTGGCATGCAATTTACAACACAAAAATAATCCCACAGAGAAGCTCCACAAAAGAATTGCAAATTGTGAAAGAGGGACTGTATTCTAGAATAGCGAGGAAGGAGTGGCAACTACACGTGCAACTGAACAGTCAAAACGAGTTACAACAGAATATGGAAAGCAAGTTGCATTAAACTCCAAAACCCTGATTGCATCCTACCTACACAGGACTAGCCGATGTAGACACAAAACTCCACTACGAGGGTCACCGTTGCATAGCTCCTTTGGAGTGTAGAAAATATAGTGGTATTTTAGCTCCCCTCTATCTCTTTTTCCCATTCAATGAGAGAGGATTTCAGCCCCCAATACCAGCACATCTCCTGAGATCCACCAAGACTAGATGCAATTTCAGGTCAGTCAAAACTACCCATGAACTTATCACAAAGTTGCTAAAGAGTTTCAGCCAAAAATTTTTGTTTCAAAATCTGGGCTAAATTCACAAAGGGACTTAGGTGCCATTCCCAAAAAAGAAGAGAAGGAGCTGGAGCCCCTTCTTACAACCAGCAGCCCCATGGCTAGAACATCTACCTGGGAAATCTTGGCATTGAGTCCCCACTCTTCCTTATTGAGAACAGGGACTTTTGTTATTTTGTTTCATTGAGAAAGCTGAAAAATTTGCTTTTAGGCTCAATCCAAACAGTTTGAAAACATTTTTTTTTTTGGTTTAGCCAGTGAACCACAAAAATTCATTATTTGCACAGCCCTCGCCAAGATACAGTGGCTCCATATTGACTCTTGCCTCCAAAGGCCTTCTCTAGTTCCTTAACAGCACAATTCCAGACCCATTATATTGCCTATAATTCCTTGCTGCCCCTAACCTATAACCTTTCCCCCATGTTTCTGACTTAACTAAATTATGGCATTGAGTATCAAGTATGAAGCACAAAAACTGGCCATAAAAAGTGAAGTGAAAAACCCTTTGCATCAGCAATTCATATTATCTTCTGATACTGAGGGGTGGAAATAGCTGTTTGGTTGCATGTCTCATTGTTGAGTACAGTTAATGTTTAGGACAGATATACAGACAAAAATAGCCAGACATCAGATTTCTTTGTCCTTGCAAGAAAATCAGAGAATAGGCAAAAATCTGGAAACCTGGTACTTGGCATCAGTAAGATGGCATTGCTATAGCCAGCAACTGATTTGAGTCTCACATTTCATCTAGTAGTTAAAGCAGTTAGAAGGGTCTATATTTCCTTCTGAACTGTTTTAATGACCACCTGTATTCTATTAGATGTAGCACAGTTTTTTTTAAACTTACGGTTCAGCTGAAAGTTTCAAATCAGGAATGCACATGTTGTCTTCTCCACAATCCACCAGAATGTAAGCCTGTAGTGTTCAAAACATGTACCAGCGGTATTAGAGTTTTTTCCTGAAAAAAATCAAGTCACTTTCTTGTTTTGATGATTACCAGCAATGCCACTAATTAAAGTGTTATTTCTGCAAGCCTTTACTCACATGAATAGTCTCAATGACTATGTATGTAATGGTTTGTAAAGTATAAATATATAAATCTTTCAAATTATTCTCCACTGTAAGTTGGGGCTTACAATGGAATCAAAACAATAATTCTGGAAGACTTTTAAAAGATGCATGGTAGTCTATTCTGAATTAATTAAACCCTTGTTACATAACTTTGGTGAACACAATGACATAGTGTTTTAAGAAAGATGAGACAGAAAATATGTTAATACATAGAACATATTCCATGCAAGTTCCATACCTGCTCCTTAAGAGTGCTTTCTTGATAATAGTTCAGTATTGGTTTCACAGCTAGACCATCTACAAAAGTGGATTCATCCAAGCTGTAATTCAAACTAACACTGATGGGAGATAATTTATCTCGAAATTCTGTTTCATCCTGTGAATGGTAATCACATAATAAAAATAACACTTTAAAATAGTTGCTAATGGCAAAGTAATAGCAGACATAAATTCAGGGTTTTGTCTCTTCAAAGAATCATTGCTTTAGTCCAGTAGCGTGTCTTTGAAGACATATTTGATTATGTGGTATAGTTAGGAAAGCGAAGTTACTCACCTGTGACCGGTGTCCTCAGAACACATTGCCTCCACAGACCCACACTCCAGAAGTAGCTTGCTGAGCTGTGTAGACTCAGAACTTTTTCAAAGAAGTAGCCTAGAATGAGGCCGTATCTAAAATTCCCATCAGTTCTTGACCACCTGGCAGGAATGGAAGGAGGACACGTGTGGATCTGTGGAGGCAATATTGTTGGTTTGTTCCAAAACCAAGGATTTATACACATCAGCCTTGGTAAAACTCCACCATCTTTATTGCCTAGGTATGCCCTTATATACTTTATTGCCTAGGTATGCCCTTATATATTCCCAGCTCGCCTTCCTCTGCCTTTCCAGGGTAGCCTTAAAGCTCACCCAGGCAGTGTCTTAAGTAGTTCCAACAACAGGTGAGCAACAATAATTTTTTCTCCTTCATAAATATACCTCCAGAAAGGCCCACTCTTGGAGACTGGAGGGCAGTAGTCATCCTGGAGGCTGTCTGAGAAGATAAATACTAGCTGACAGCCTTACTAAATCAGTTCTCCAGACTAGACAGATCTGTTGAACAAAGGTTTAAAACAATACTTGAGAGGGCTCCATATATTTCTTAGTTACAGGGATTTGGTGGAAATGTGCCTGTGAGGACTGCTGGGGCTCTTCCAAGGATTCTGCCTGAAAAGATGTGGTGACTCTCTCAACTCTTAACCCTCACCTCTTTTGCCTTGACAGAGGAAGTAGATTCAGAAAACAGATGCTTAATATTCACTATTTAGGCCTCCAGATCCATCAAATAAGGACATGAGAAGTTCACTGTACAAAAGGAGGATAAGTCACCTTTGCACTTATGTCCCACTTTTCCTTCATGGATCTCAAAGTGCTTTATAAAAGTGTGTCATCATCATAATCCTAGTTTCATAGCTGAAGAAAGAAGGTCAGAAAGAGCTTATCTGATTTGCCCAAGTCTTTTTGTTTTATAGTTATTTTCTAATGAGTTTCAGTGTTTTGTTATGCCACTAGATCATCATCAGTGTGTGGTGTGCAAGTGTTTACATCACATAACTTTATTTCCAGAAAATGTTTCTAACAACATTTCTAGATCTAATTATATTTCTTTTACAAAAAAATCTATATTTTAAACCCTAAAATACTTGATGGAGTCCCTTTGAAATAGATGTTGAAAAGTGCATTATCGTTAAATTTAACGTTTTAATGCAGTTATCTTACCATAGGTACAAGTGATGCACAATACATACATGCTTTAGGAAAGGGGAAAATGTATGCAGAATTGCAGGAAAAACTTCCTGACATTGAAACATATATGTGGCTGGGGACTACTTCCCAAGGAAAGTGCCATTTCTTGAACTCAACTGGACAAAAGATTGGTAAGAACAATCATTCATTGTCAAAGGACTGCACAAGAAGACTTGGTAGGAGTTTCTTACATCAAAATTTGTAATTATACGATGTTCATGATAAACGCTCATTACTTTTTGATCATTCATGTTTCTGAGTTTCATAATGTGACTGGCATTTTCCTGTATTATTTCATTTTTTTATTCCTCCCATTATACTAAAACCATGAGATGACAGCAAAGAGTATTTTAAACAACTTACTCGGAGGTAAACAATGAAGTCCTGGCAATGGTGCATTTTTTGTCTTTCTATCACAATGGGGAAGAAACGATGTGACTGATGGTAATCAAAGAAGAGGGTCCTTTTAACAGCTCCTTTCTGTTTCAATGAATCTAATTGCAATTCAGCTTGCAGTGCTAGAGAATGAAAGTATTTAAACATTTAACATCAAACATTTAACAGAGAAAGAAAAATGATGAACGAAATTATTCACATTTTTACATCAAAAGCTATGAATGGATCACATCTACCCTAATTAATTAGCTTCATTATAATGGGTCCTACAATTGACAGGTAACTGCTTTTGCTGTTATACACATCTTAGATTCTGTTAATTCCACTCCAACTCATCTAATAAAGTGGATTTTTTCCACAAAAGCTCACGAGCCTGTATATATTTGTTAGTCTCTAAAGTGCCACAGACCTACTCATTGTCAATAACAAACTTTTTCCAGTAAAAATCAAAGCTTACATTTCAAAATGGGTTGCTAGATTTACAACACACTAGACATTGATCAAAAGTACACAATATGTGAAATTTGAATTACTTTATTTTCATAGTCACCATATTCCATACTCAATTTCTATTTCCTAAAATTCTTTCTTTTAAGAGCAATAAAAATAGTTAAGTCCTTGTTTTATTTTGGTAATTGATCAACCTTATTCAGTTTAAATGAACAAAACAAAAACAGACAGCATTTCATAAAGGACACAGTGCTGTATTCCTTGAAATCAGCCAAAATATACAACTCAAATCAGTGAGCCTTAAATAAATAAATATCTATATATAGAGAGAGAGAGCTTTCTTACCAATTTTATCTGAAATACTTTGACCTTCAAAAGCCACACAAACTCTTACAGTAAAGCTATAAAAAGCAACAAAGAAAAAATAATTAACAGATTGTACCGAGTCACTCATCCCCTATTTCTCAGTCTTTTCTCCTTAAAACTTGTTATAGAGCATTCACTATCCTGAACCAATTCAGCAATCTGTTTCACTAGTTCTGTATCAAGCAGTCTGAACGCAGTCCTTTTTAGTTTATGATGGAATAAAAAAAGTATCTGTGCATGTACATAGCTCACAATCCTGTATTCCTTGCACACCAAGAAACCCAAAGGACAAAATGCTGATTCCACTGAAATCAATGACAAACTCCCATATACATCAGTGGAGCAAGAAATAAACTCAAATACTTAAACAGAACTTTTTTAGTGTACAAGGAATTAGAGACCAAGATAATTTTCTATTTCAATTTAAACCTTTGCTGGAGTTGCCAGTCAGATCAAGCCCTAAAGTAAAAGGGCAGAGAAATTAATGTTTCTATGTTTGTTATTTATTACATAAATGCATTGAGACTATATGCTAATTGATTTATTTCTGGTGTATTTTTTTTCAAATCCAATGACAAACTCTGTATGCAACATAACAATCAGCAATATCTGTGTTATTTAAGATAATCAAACTGCACAGACTTCCACACACACAGCCACCTAGGTTATATATTTAAAACTGCCCTCTTTCTTTTCTCTATATGCCGTGTCACTGATCCTTACTTATTCTGAAAAAATAAAAAGACCTTCTGGAATTATATAGACTGACAGCACTTTATTTTAGCAAATTCTAATGCATGCATTTGCCTTAAAGACATTATTTGAAACCATAACACTGATTAATGGTTGTGTAAAAGTTTCATTTTACAAAAGAGATGCTTTATTATACAATACAGAATATAAATGTTTAATGAAATGACATTCAAAAGCTTTCACAAACAACCACTGATGGTCTGTTAAACCATTATAACAAAGTTAATAGTATTAGCAAGGCTTGATTTCCTGCTAATAGACACCACTGGAAACCCGTCTTTAATAACATGCTCTTGATGTCTAATACTTGACACTACATACTGAAGACCCAATTCCGGATACCCATCCTCCCACAAGTCCCATAGTTACTCATGGAAATAGTCATTTGAGTAGCATTAGCAAGATGAGATATTAAAACTTGAAAATTGCCTTGGTTACTAATTATTCTAAGGGTATGTCTACATTTTGCATTCCTCTTTTGAGAGAGGAATTCAAATGCAGACGAACGAAATTGCAAATGAAGCGTGGATTTGAATTTCCCATGCTTCATTTGCATAATCGCATCTGGGCGCTATTTCAAAATACCCTATTTCGAAAAAAGGAATGCTGTGTAGATGCAGTTATTTCAAAAGAAAACCCTTCTTTCGAAATAACCCTTACTCCTTATAAAATGAGGTTTAAGGGTTATTTCGAAAGAAGGATTTTCTTTCAAAATAACCATGTCTAGACAGCATTTCTTTTTTCAAAATAGGGTATTTCAAAATAGCGCCCGGACGCAATTATGCAAATGAAGCTCAGGAAAGCTTCACCTGCATTTGCATTCCTCTCTCGAAAGAGGAATGCAGTATAGACATACCCTAAGAGAGTACAAGTTGGACCTCTCTAGTCCAGTACTCTTGGGATCTGACCAGTCCCAGACAAGTGAGTTTGCTGGACCTGGGCAGGTCAGGCCAGGCTCTTGGGAGTGCCAGTTTCCCTGTTTGGCTCCCCTCCCCAGCCACCAGGCTCCATTGCTCCCAGCCCTACGGGTTCCTTAGGTTTTGCTGCTCCTCTGACCCCACTGTCCCCATGGGCTTCACTGCTCTGCCAGCTGGCTTCACACCTAGCCACTGGGGTTCCCTGGTCCAAAGGCTCTCTGGTCCAGCAACATCATGGTCCTGTCAGACTATGGATGTTGCTGAACCAGAGCAGTCTAACAGAGCCCGGTCATCATTGAAACTACAAAATTGGCACATTTCACAACAGACAATGACAGCAAAATCCAAACATTCTTGAACAACTCATTGCTTTTAAATACCACACTAATCTTATGGTATGTACCAACATACTCATGTAGCCATTATCAAAACTAATAATGGTACCTCTAAAACAACCTCTAATCATATTGTAACTGCGTGGCAGCTTCCTCTGACAAGCATAATAAAAATGTGCCACATCTGGGATTCATATAACTCACATGATCTTACTCAACATCTTCCTTCAGAGCAAACAATTTGCTTCATGACATTAAGCAGGACTTCATCATAGGCCCCAGAAGCTATTAGAAGCACTGATTCAAATTCCCCTGAAAAACTTCATATTTGAACCTATTTACATTTCTCTTAGAATTACCAATTAGAGATGAATAACTGACCATTTCTAAATAGATGAGACAATGTAGAGTAGGTATCAAACAGAGAACATGTAATCTGTTGCATGGAAATGCAAAGTATTTAGTCGTCAACCTTTCTTGGCCAAATTGTAGTTCAGCTAGGGAAGCCTTGCAGGAATGAAAGGATCAATAAAGTGCCCCCTCATTCTCTATGGCAGCTTTCTTCATAAACAGGTAGCTGAAGGGAAACAGACTTTGTGGAGTGGCTTTGCAGGGAATAGACAAAATTTTGACTCAGCCTTCTTAATGCTCCTGGTAGCGTATCTATACTATTGTGTCAGACAGCATGCTGGGTATAAGCGTGTCACCATGTACTCTTGCCCCGCAGCAGCAGGGAAATGCCTTCACAAGTCAAAATCCCCTTTCCTGACTGACCTAAGCACAGGGCAACAAGATACTGCCTTGCACTTGGAGTAATACATTTTACTCAGGTTAAGTGAAAATTAAGATTAAGGTGGCTCTTTAATATTTGGAAATTTGTACAGTACTTATATTTTAGCTCAAGTCCTAATGAGCTGTGCTTTATAAACTGGATGATCCAACTTGTGTCCTTTGTGTTGTTATGGTGTACAGCACAGTAACAACTGTGAAATCATAAATGAGCACAGTTTTTGACACCAGGAACATTTAAGGCAGAAATATTTCCAAAGACATCAGACAGTTTAGTCATAAACATAATTAGATTGATGGTATGTTATCTATTTTGAAAGTAGCATCAAGTTTAAAGGAGATCTTGTGATGTTTAAATAGGCTTGTTTGTACTATGAGGCATTCTATGCTTATGAGAAGCAGGAAAAGCTAAAAATAACAGATTGTATATGAGATAAAGCCAAGAGAGTTAGATCAGTTAAGCAAGACTGGAGTCAGAATGGTTTCTGAAACCTGGACGATTGATTTATAGCTCTGTGGAAAAACATAGTAAGTTCAACTTTTCAAACTTCTTGAAATGCCAGTTGATACTGTGATTACTCAACAAGCAGGAGGACAATTTTGAACAATTAAAGGAAGAGAACTGGTATAAGAAACAAATGGCACCTTTGTCCTCTGACTGTATGGCCTAGCCTATATCATTGGTCTGGGATATCATGGAGATAAGAACACTAGAGTCTTGTCTGCCCTACATTGCCTATCATTGCAACAACCACAAGAGCAACACTGGTGGCTAAAAAGTGAAGCCCATGAGTTGAACAGGCAACAAGGTTTTCCCTCAATCCTTAGGACAACAAATAGTTTACTTAAGATAAATGTGTGCTCTTTAATCTGATGTAAATCCCAATGTATTTTAATTCTAACACAACTGAATATTACAAGAATAAAAAGTGATAAGTGTTTTCCTCTTGGCTCTGTTCTCTATGGAAAGAAAGAATGGGCTTTGTCTCCTACTTAACGGTTGAGCAACTGATCTGTCATATGAAATGCATGATGATTCACAGTGTTTAAAACAAAAGAATAGGGCTTTTGATTAAACTACAAAATGCTCTGAACCTTTAATGAGTGTTTCAGTATAGTTCTGAATTGTTCTATTCTTAGCATCTTTGCCTAAATTAAATGCATGGACTAGATCATGATTGTGAAGCTAGATCATATAAAGTCAAAACAAAATGAATCAATGGTCCTCACTTGAACTCTTTTGGAAATGTTTTTAGAGAAATTTTGAAATCGTGGCATTTCCCCCAGTGTGGAACATTTTTCCTCAAAATATTAGACTTTTGCATGGAAGGGAATTTCCAGTTTTCATTTCTTCTGAACTGAAGTTTATAACAGAAAAAAATTCTAGTTTGGTTTGGAAATGTAGAGATATGTAATGAATACATAATTTCATTGGGGACATATCAAAACAATAAACAGAAATGATTGACAGTTCCTAATACTACAGTAGACTTCCGATAATCCGGAGCCTATGGGATTTAGGTGGTGCTAGATTTCAGATATGCCGGACTATCAGGAGGTACTTTAATATATTTCAGATATGCTAGACTATCAGGAGGTACTTTAAACTGGTTATATATATACACTGTATACATTATATACTGTATATAAAGTGTTCTTAACCCTTTTTATTGTACATACTGTATACAGTATACTGTAGTGTTTTAGGTTTTTTAAGCCTTTTTTACCCTTTTTGCTCAGTTCAGCTGCTGCCGCTGTTACCTTGTGACTCTTTTTGCCGAAGCTCACTCACTAGGCTCTTGCCATTTTGATGCCGGACTATCAGGAGTGCCGAACTATTGGAGTTTTACTGTATTTACTGTTATCGATATTTCATTTAACACAATGGGAAATATGGATATAAGACACTGCAACCAATGTTTTCAAATGCCTAATTCCATATTGTCTGGGATACTGATTATACCATTTGAATTAATGGGAGTAGCAAATACTTAGCCTTAGAAACAATAAAAAATTAACAACCCTCCTCCCAGAACAATTCACCTGGAAAATATAAACATGTTTTCCATTTTCTAAGGTTCAAAACTGACCCACTCTGTATTTTTATTCCAAATAAGATTTTGATTTTTTTAAGTTTTATAGACATTTTTCATTTACTGAAAACCTGGTTTATTGAAAACTTTCATTAAACCATTTCAACAGTGGTTTAGATAATGATAAATATTAATTACAAAGCTGGAATTGTTTTCTTTGGCAAAGAATACCACCATCCTATTTTAGGAAGTGGAGGCTCAGAAATGGTAAGATGCTTGTGTGAGGGATTTTCAGTTTGGTGGATAGTCAGCACTTCTGAAAATTACATGCTCCAAAGTGCCTCACAAAAGTCGCACAGAAATGAATATATTCATATCAATAGAGATTTAGGCCTCGAGTTTTAACCCTGGTTCTGATACCTTTCTGCTGCATAGCCTTAGACAGCGCTGTTAACCTCTCTGGCCTTCAGTTCCCTCATCTCTCAAATGGTAATTATACTATTTCCCTGCTTCATATAGACATTGTGAGGCCTAACTTTAGCTATGTCTATATTGCGCTCTCTTGCGCAATCACATATGCAAATGAGGCACGGCAATGAATATCACCACGCTTAATTTGCATACTTAGTGAGCCACCATTTTTGCACAAGGGGCTTTTGTGCAAGAAAGAGCAGTCTACACTGCTCCATCTTACACAAAAAACCCCTCTTGTGCAAGAGCTGTTCTGCTGCTTGTTTTCAGGCAGAACGCCCCTTGTGCAAAAATGGCGGCTCAATAAGTATGCAAATGAGGCGTGGCAATATTCATCACTGTGCCTCATTTGCATATGTTGTTGCGCAAGAGAGCGCAATGTAGACATAGCCTAACTGTTTGTAAAAGTGTTTGTAAAGTGTGGTTAAACTGTAAAACTGCCATCAGACCAATAGGTGCTCAGATAAGTAGTAAATGCAATAGAAGAGGCAGAGGAAAGAACAGAACACAGGACATTTGGTTGAGTAGTTTAGAATTTCAGAACTTTGCGGCATTTTTTTTTATGGTTTTCTGAACTCAAGTTTTGAATTAAGAGTATTTTGTTAGGAAAATTGTTTTCAGCTTTAGTAAATGCTCTTCTAAGTAAATAACACATACCACGCTAGCAAAGTAGTACGTACATAAGTCTAAAAGATCAGGATAAAACTGGAAGAGTTTTTCTGAGTATAAAAAAGAAATTGTGTTTATGGCTCTTTGCCCTATGATTTAGTTTTATAATCTCAGATCATGGCTAAAACAATATTTTCCTAATCCTGGAAAGCATACAGTAATCTAAATCCTTTTAGACTTCCTGATATTTTTCTGGTAGGATGGTTTCCTTTCATTCTTCTAATTTTGAAATGTCAGTCAGCAGGCATTTCACACAAGTTGCACAGCTGGCTAAGAGATACTGAAATCTATCCCATGGGACAGAGGAATTATTTGCCTGTTGGAGTTTCCCTACTAATTGTTTTCATATGTACAATACAAGGTTATATCAACGAGAGAAAAAAATTACAGCATGGAAAATCAACAGCTGCTCTTCAATCATTTTGGGAGACTGAATTAATTTATTTTGTATAGAAGGAGCTGAACCTTTAGAGAACTGTAGATTATAATAAAACAGCCAGAAATGTAATCATCCTTCCACTAAGACACTTAAATTATGGATAAAACTATTGTAGATATAAATCAAAACCATCTTTCAGATTATTCTAATAAAAATAAGTATTAAAAGGAATAACTTTATCCACATAATGCATTCACTTCTCCCAATAATACATTGTAGTTAGAATGTGAAGCAAGACAGAATTATTTCTTGAAGAGCTATAGAGGAACCATATTTTTATTTTGAGGGAGTTTCATAGTTTCAAAATTCCTTTTGTTCCAGAATAAAAACCAAAAAATTAGAAATTTCTCACAGACTGAAATTAAAAAATAAAACAAACAGATAAGTAAACGAATAAATAAATAAATAAATTTGGTTAATTGAAAGATTTATTCCCATTATGTAATTTTCAAAATGGAAAATTGAAATGTTACATTCTGAAAAGGTCAAAACTTTTAAATATGTTTTTAGCAAATTTTTATTCTAAATAAATTTAAATTGAAGGCAACATTTCTGCAAAATGTTTCACTTTTAGTAAATCAAAATGTTCTGATAGAAGAATGTTCTGGAGAAACATTTCCAATCTGATAGTCCAGTGGTGGGCAATGAAATAGCAGCAGTTCACTAGGGTTAGCCCCTGGCAGGCTGCTGCTGCAATATTTACCTGCACCTCCACAGGAACAGGCAATTTCAGCTCTTGCTAGCTCCGGATCGCCACTCTTGGCCAATGCTTCCCATAGCGCCCGTTGGCTAGGAATGGCAATCTGCAACCAACAGGTGCTGTAATCACCAGTATCTGTAAAGGCCCAAGTAAATACAGTGATGGCCCACCAGGGGCTAACCCTGGTAAATAGGACCTGACTCATGGGCCGGTATTTGTCCACCCCTGTACTAGTCAGAGGTTATTTTATCTTCCTGCTATTAAGATACAGAACAAACATAGATTAATACAACATGAACCTTTTCAAAAAGGATCCATTAAATCTATTTTTTAAAAAGAATATATATTCTATATCTCAGTGTTTATAACAAAAGTGTACAGTGTTTATTTCTGTTTAGGGTATTATTTAACTTATAATGAATACATAAAAATAATAAATGTATGGTAAATGATGAAGGGTGTTTCTAAAATGCCAACATGGAACAACGCCAGTCATTAAGTATTCATTGTTTAGGTTGAATAAATAAGCCATTCAGTCCCTTCCTCAAGTAGATGAATGTTCATCCTTCTTCACACAAAACATGGGGTTAACCATGTACTACCCAAAATGGTAGCACATTAAGCCAACAGATTATGGGGATGTAGTATCAATTAAATAACTTATGCATCCTCAGTAAACAATTGAACCCTTGCCTAATAGGATCTTTCCCATCAGATATGGTCTCAGGCTTGGTCTACATTAGACCTGAAAGATCAGTTTAAGGAACGCAACTCCAGCTACATAGAATACTTAGCTGGAGTCGGCTTACCTTAAGCCGAACTTGTCACTGTCCCCACTGCAGGAGGCCAATGGGAGCAAATGCTCCTGTTGGTTTCCCTTACTCCCCACAACTGCGAGGAGTACAAATACTGGACAGAGCTGTCCTCTGCATTCGATATATGAATCTATATTAGATCTGCTTAATCAAACACCAGAAGGTCAATCTCTGGCATAGAGAGTGAATATGTGCCCTCAGACTTTGTGTTTGAATTTAGGGCATGATTCTATGAGATGCTGAGCATCCTCAACTGCAGTAGGATATGATTATGCCTCACCTCACAGGATTAGGCTCCTGGCTACACTTCAAGTGTTTATGAAGCAAAAGAAAATAATTTGATTCTAGATAGGTTGTAATACAGCACTCATTATTGCAGCACCTGCACAAACACCAGAAAGACGTCTGGAACAAGAGGAGAAAGGTTTTTTTTGTCTTATCACTGACTTACCAGGCCACCATAATCATAGAGTCAGGAAGCAGACAAGTTTTATTGTCTGGATTTACAATCATTGGGTACAGCATGAGCTGAGCATCCACTGTCACAACAGGCCTTGCTCTACAAATGGGGGAGAGAAACAAACATCAATACATGCAACAGGAATAAGTTACTATCCAAATAAAAAAGGCCCATGAATGCAGATACAATTATCTTAAAGATAGCTGTTAATGAAGAGTCCATCAGGAGGACAGGAGTTTTGTTGTTGCTGTTCACTTTCCAGAAGAAATGAGGAATCTGTATGAGAGAAAGTGTCATCTATGCAAAAGGAGAGTTTTAATCATTTTGATAATTCTTCACAAAAATTACAAGCTAACAGGACAAGTCACTGAAACAGGACCTTGCATTTTCACTAGACCTAGACATAGATGCATGACTGTGCAGAAACCAGATATGTACAAGGTTCATTAAGCAAACACTGTTCCCTTCTCCCACCCTCACAACAATATCAATAACGCTTTGAAAGGGTCAAATCCTCACAGGCTCGGAAACCTCCACATTTCTGGATCCAACAGCAGCATTTCATAATTGTTTTACAACCTGTCATCTTTCTGCTATGGTTAAAAAAGGGGCATCTTCAGATTAGCTGTCTAATATAATTGTGTTTAATTCTCTCTGAAAAGATAATGTGATTTGGCTAAAACAGAACTTCTTAGGAAATGTGTTGAATCAGCCATAGGCTGCAACCTAACAGCTAGATCTTGAGCCATTTGACTTTGGAAGCCAGGAATAATGTTAACAGAAGAAGCAGCTGAAGACAGAGATACATGGCTGCAGAGGCGGTGTGCAATTGTGAATAACAGCCGGAGATTAATTAGTTACCCAGTAATTTAGATTAATTTATAACAGTGTTGGATACAGGGAAGTTTCTAAATCATATGTTCACAGAATATCATTATTGAACACTGACTTACAGGAATCTGATAAAAATAAATCACTCCCAAGATTTTCCCTTAAAAGTTTTAATCTACAACTGGTGTTGTAGTGTCAATTTTTCATTCTAACATCAGTTGGAGCCTCAAAAATGAAATGATTTCTTGCACTGCTATACATCAGGGTAAAACGAATTCTCACACAAACTTCAGTTTGTATTATTAAATGCAAATACCTGTCTTTGTCCAACAATACCAATTGCACATTATAACACAAGAGTTGGAAAGGAAAAAAAAAAGAGGTGCTCATAATATTAACTTGTTAAATGGCACAATCACTCTTTTGGGTTGCAAAAAAAATGTAGATCTAGACATACCAATTCTGATTCTCTATTACCCTGCATCTACCCCTGCAAAGTGGCTGCAAAACAATACCAGATCAGCATAGTAATACTTTATATATGGATTCCATGAGGTTCAGGGAAATGGTACATATTGCTGTAATGTGGAAACTGAGCTAATGCTACCTACGTGAGATTTTTTTACCTTTCTGTTTCTTAACTGTGAATGCCCATACATTTGTAACATTAGGGTATTATGGAGTCATTGGAGGTATATAGGGTTGGGGAAAACAGAAGCCTACAAAGAACCAGACAGTTTGGCAATATTTATGCTCCAGACTTCCCAATATTTGGATGGGCACAGTTTTCTGTGCAGCTGGATTAACAGAACAGCAGTAGACTTTGCCTTACATTTCTGACAGCTGTAAATTTATGTGTTTTAAATAAAAGCTCAGGATTTGCAGAAAATTATAGTATGCAGCAGGACACTAAAGACTAAAATTATAGGATCCTATTCATTAGTCACTGTGATTTTGCTCCAGACTTTGAATTTTAGGCATATTTATATATGTTTCATTAAAAGATTACATTGTCCCTCATAAAAATGGTTTTTACAGCAGTCTGAAAGTAGCAGTGCTTTGCTTGTCAGGTAGCTCACATCCTAGTATCACTAACTGGACAAGGCTACATAAAATCTAAAATTATTAGAGGATGCCATTGGCCATGGTAAGAAACAACTCTTCAGTCACATGTCTTTTTAAATTCTCTCTCATCAAGGACTACTTCCTGGCAACTATTGAAAGCTTTCATTTTTAATTATTTGGGACTCAGCTCCATTCAAAAAAGTGTGGTTACAATTTTTAAATGGGAAAAAATGTCTTTCCTTAGCCTGCACCTAGCCTAACAAGTTGGTTGAAGGATTTGATCAGAATATAAGCTTGTTGGGTTGAGCCTGACATAGGTACTTTCAACCAAAATGGAGAATTTTTCTGAGACTGAAGAGCATGTAAGAAAAGGACTTACATCACTATAGAATATGCTGCTAAGAACATACTATAATCTAGCCATTTATTTACATACAGGGAAAAGTAACACTGAAATGTGAAAAAAAGATTGGCTGTAGATCTCCTGTTTAAGCTGTAAGACAAAGCTTCCATAGCAATTACCACATACCTGTAAACAGCTACTTTTCCAGCTCCAAATGCACCTACTATTAAATCTGGAAAAAAACAAAACAACTTTGAAAAAACTACGTGCAAACCTCCAGCACAGTTTTGCAGCCTAATTCATTTATATTCAGAATACAGTAATGTAAAGCAAATGAGCTAACTCACACTTTCTGCATCATTCTACAAGAACATAGTGAGGGAAAACATTTCATATTTTTGCCATAATGGCATATTCATTCACCCTACATGACACAGAGTCATCCATGCCTCAAACTACTATTTCATTAAATCCACATATTTTACTTCAAGCCATTACCTATCTGTCACATGAAGGAGTGGCAAACAGATTGTCCACACAAAAAGTTGAATCTCATATTTATTTAAATTCATGCTATTTAAATCATTTTTTTCCTGGTGACCTCTGATCTCATCCTGATTTTTGTATTGAATTGTATGTTTGTTAATTTAGGTATTACTATACTTTTATAGTTTCAGAGGGTATACTTTTATAGGAGAAAGTAAATTTTAAAGTTTACATTTTAACCATGAATTTGGTTTAACTTGAAAGGGAGGTCTGTGCTTATAAGATACTCAACAGTGGCACCCCCTCTCTCCCCCTCCCCCTTCTGGAAGTCACTTTAATATACATTAAATTAATTTAGTTAAGCCGGTGCACACATGGTATGTAAGTCTACCTACAGATTCTGTGTTAGATAATATATCCATGCAAAGCACTCTTGGGTAGATTATTTTTATACTGGATTGACATTACTGGAACTCAAGTGGCTTCACTTGAGACTACACTTCAATGGAGGTGGCCTCTCAGTGAAAAACGTGTGAGCAATTTCTCCCCTTTTGGCATTTAGGAGTCCTTTATGATAATGGCATAGTCAGACAACTCTCAATGGGTTCAAAGCCTGGGCAAGGAGAACCTGAAGAGAAGTTTACCTCCTTGGTTAAGATGTTGTAAAATGTGACAACACAAAACCTCGCCTAAGATCTTCTATGCAATTGGGTTCTCTTACTCTCACAATAAACCAAATGGATTTAATATAATCTATTTCTCAAGAAGAAACATGGGATAGAAACAGCATGCTATGTCACAGCTAGAAAAAAGACAAGTAAATTAGACAAATAAAATAGAGGCTTCATGGATCTTATCATCTGTTGTTGCAGGGTTGCAAGCTCTGGTTTAAGTTAGAGCATCTGATTTCAGAATCTGAGCTTCCATTGTAAGAAAGATGCCTCTAGCCTTCATGGCTGCAAAGAAAAATTTGAAATGATGACAGATGTCTGCCTGAATCTGCTGAGTCTGAGAACCAGTCTACACCAAAATCTTACACCAGAACAGTCCTGAGAGACATAATTATGCTAACTCAACTCTGGTTTAGATAATGCTACGTCAGTGGAAGAATTATTGTGTCAAGCTAAGTACTGCCTCTCAAGGAGGTGAATTACTTACACCACTGGAAGAACCCCTTCTCTCAGTATAGTGAGTGTCTACACTCAAATGCTATAATTGTACAAATGCAGTACTGCAGCTATACCAGTTTAAGGGTAGGCATACCCTGAAACAATGCCTTTGAGAGGAATGAATTGCTCCGCACATTAGAATGGAGTGTTAACTCTAAAACCCACGGTTCTGGAGAACTGCACCAAACACCATCTAAACATAGGAATCTATGTGTGGAAAGCCTTGTTATCTTAATTTCTTCATGAGATAATACATGCCAAATCCTCTGTGCAAGTGAGCAGAGGCCTCCTTCCCCCCACAGCCCACTTGAAGATGAGGAATAGTGGTCTAGAGAAGGATAAGACCCATGCTGGTGAAAAACATATATTGGTAGGCCTCCAGCAGCCTAGCAGATTGCTTGTGTGAGGACCCCAGAATCTACCAACTTGATCAGACAAGTAGTATATCAAAGGAGTGGGGCCATGCCATGGGAGCAAGGCAAAGCGGGCTCCCTTTGAGGGCTGTACTTATGGCTCTGGATTGTGCTGATTTAGGGTCTGCAACTCTTTCATTGAGTAGCCTCTCATCCCCTAGACCAAGCTGAGCTCAGCTCCACGGGAGAATCTACCGCATCATGACCTTCCCCAAAGAACGTGAAAGGGCATGATTGTTAATTGGCAACATAGGCAAACATTAAAAGAGCTTATTGTATTAACGGTGATCTATACATTAGTCTAAAATAAGAATAATAAAGATGATGTCACTGTACATTCACACATAATAGTTTATTGGAAAGCCCATTCAAAATCTCACTAATTATAATGCGGTCAGTCTATTATAATGCTTAAGTTCTGTTACACTCTCTTTCATTGTCATTTAGGGCCCCGTTCAACTCTTATAACACTCAATGGAAAGAACTTTTTTGACACTGATGGGAGTTGAGCCAAACCCTTCATTTGCTAAGTAATAGTTATGAACATTCATAATGCCAGATTCATTTATGAGCAGTAGTTTTTAAGTTTATTGTGTGTTGTCTAAAGGAAAAGCCATTAATCATTTCTGTGAAACATACGTGCAAGATGTCCAAATTATCTGAAGTCTGGCAACTTTCTTTTCCTAAAAATAGATGGAAGTTGTCTTCATTGCTGGCTCTTTTTATTGCTACATATGAAATGTCACTGATGCAAAGGTTACTAGCTGAAAAACAAATGTTTGACAAGGCAATTGGAATTTCCATAGCAAAAAGTAATCTTAACTAACTGTCAGGATCATTTCCAAATGAAGCCTGAAGAAAAACATTTGCAAGCTGGAACATAAGACTGCATCTATTTCATTAGTTAGGGTTTGCTTTCTTTTTTCACAAAGGCAAGTCGCTATGGCCCTAATTAAAAAAAACAACCATCTAATAATCAATAAGAAGTACCCATTAAAATGTTTTTCACTTTAGTTCCAACTTCCAAAATTGGAATTATGGCAAACCCCTGAGTAATACCCACAGATGAGAATGGGAGTTATACATTTATGAAGAAATGATCATTGACAAATCCTCCATGTGTTCCCATCCTGTAAGGTGCTGCATTTCTCTGACAACCTCTGAATGGGCTCTGTTTCCTGTGGACTGCTCCTATTTAAATACATTGGAGCCAGAGCATGCTTGTTCGAAGCCAAAGGCACTCAGCATCCTAACTGAAAAATATTGCACATCTATTTACAAATGCAACATAGTTCTCCATCCTATAGCTATTCAACAGGTATTTTATGAAGGGGGAGTATTCCTAAGATACCTAATATAACTTGCAAAGGTAAATATTAAAATCCTCTCATGGAATACCCATAATAGGCACATTAAGAAGGGAATTCATCATTTTGTGAGTTCAGAACTAATAATTTCTCCCTCATTTTGGATCCAAAATGTCCCAGCTCCCTTCTCCCTTGATCTCTACCTCTTCCCAGTAACTGGGACACCCAAGCCTCCATTTGGTGTTTCTGAAGGAGTTACACGTCCTTTCCCACCATTTCATGATTTAGTAAAACTGGCAAACCTTCTCTACACAGCATCAGGAAGGGCAGTGAGATAGCCACATTGCCTATGTTGTTTCTTTGAGGAGAATCCTCACCTGGAACAGCTGCTGCCTCTCAGAGAAGTAAAAGATTTCTGCAGATAGAATCTTGTGCCTCTTGTGGCAGAACACAGCCCTGCCTTGCTGAAGTCACAGGATGAATGATCCATAGAACTAAAATGCCTCAGGACCTCATTGAACCATAACTCAGAAACACGCATCAAGAGATTCTACAGGAATTTCAAGGGGCATTTTTCACTGAGAACTGTTGTGATAATTGGCCTACACATTTACCCTAATGGTAAGCTCAGCTGTAAAAAGTGAGTGTAAATTCATGAATTGTCACAATGGCCTGTCATATAAAACAGTTTACAGTGTAAGAAGGAGACAGAAAGACTGAATTCATTTAAACAGAAAGGGTTTTACTGATACTATTCAAGGACTATGTTTATGACTGGTAAATAAGAGAAGCAGGGACAGAAAATCAATGAACCAAAATTAGTGTGTTGGAATTAGGCTTATTGGTGGACAAAGTAATGAGAAGATGATCTATTCCATCCAGCACTGTCTTTCTGGGTTCTTAGAAAGAAAAAGACTTTCAGGGAAAATTAGCAGAAGCTGCAGTTGTGTGCAGTGAGCTTTATTACCATAGTTCCATCCCCATCATCTCTCGGGATCCCAGACCACCTTTGCCTTAATCCTGAGATATGTCCTGACCAGATCAGGCCAGAGAGAGGGGCTCAGATGGCACTGCCACCTCCAATGGCTTCAGATAAATCTTAGCCATTGCTTGGGATGCAAAACAATTTCCCCTCCTTCTTCCCCACATACCCTTTTCTTTTCCCACTTCTTTCCCCTCTTTCTCCTTTCTGTTTATTACGAGTCTAGATTAGCTGGTCAAGACTGCATGTTCTGCAATCCTGCTATGAGGCTGTGACCAGGAAGAGGCAACTAAAAGCAATGCCCTAAACAGCCCATTACTGGTACAAGTTTGCCACGTCTCCAAGTGGCTGATAAGAAGATATATTTTTCCAGCAGTAAGGTTGCCAGTGAAAGTCAACACCAGAGACAGAAGCTCCATTTACTAGCTTTGCTGTTCTTTTCTTTCCCTTTTTGTGTGTGTTTTGTCTTTTAAGTAACAGGATCAGACTTTAACACCACCATCAATAACAGTTCCAGGCCATCTCAACTAACTTTTTCTCTTGTCCCCAAAAGGATAGCTATTACCATCTTTGATACCATCTAAAATGTTGTCCAACCAGGGGTTTTTTTTTTTTCCTTTTACAAACTCTCTCCAGCTAAAGGGAAAGGGAACAAGAGATGTTGTTAAAATGAAAGCCTTATTTAATACTTTACATTTCAAATGCTTTAATTGTTTTCCCTTCTTTCCTGTATTGTCAATAAAAAGTTAAAAGGCCTTTTAATGATGTGTTTGCTATGGCACTAAGCACTCTGAGGTCTCTGCATAACAAAATCCTAAACCTTGTTTAAAGTTGGACTGTGACTGGGTTATGACCCAGTGACCTTTGACTCTTTG